ATTTCATAAATCTGTCTATATATTCTTAACGTTATTATTAATTTTTTATATATATTACCTATGAACTCGGTTTTCATGAAAACCAATTTGTACATTGATGAAATTTCCCGAGATTAAATAAAAGACATCTCTCTCTCTCTCTCTCTCTCTCTCTCTCTCTTTCTCTTTCTCTTTCCCTCTCTTTTTCCCTCCTTAATCTCCCTCTCTTTTCATAAGGTTTCTTTAGCTATGTCTTACTTTGTTAACGTCGGGCTAACTTTGTTATTGGGAATTGCTTGATCGAAGTCGAATGGAATAAATCAACATGCGTAAAAATAACAAAAATAATGAAAGATTATATATTTGAATATGATTTTATAAAAAAAATTAAAGATGAATACATCCTACTTGAAACAGCTATTTCTGTGTCTGCATACAAAGATTTATAATTGCTTTGTACAGTTTGCTTACATTTATTTGAATATTAATTGCAGTGTTCATTGTAAATAGAAAAGCTTTATTCTAGATTGTAAATATTGTAGTATAAAAAGAATTTAAGTTTATAAAGCATATTAGTAAAAGGCGATACATGTTCTTCATGCTTATTATATAAAACTGAGAGTGTTGAATGTGTTTTATTTCAAAATGTAAGTTTTGTTTTCAATGGAACTTAATAAAAAAAAAAAAAAAAAAATCAATTAACGTCTTTAAGAGCATTCTATTCATTTATTATTATTTGTCTCTAATCATAATGATGTTTGAATTTTTTAATGGAAAATCTTATCAAGACAATATTTTAAAATATCCAGCCCTTAAACTTGCTATTCAGAAAGTCCTTTAGCCTTCGTCCTTTATTTGTTTAATACTAGTAATTTCGTAATATTTTTATTCGGTTTTTATTTTTCTTGTTTCATTATGCACTTTTAACCTTATATATAACAAATCTTGATAACTAAGTGACGAGGAACAAAGTTTTTCCAGTGATATATTTATGTATAAATTTTTTTTTCATTCAGTAAAGAAACGTAAATGACAGTTATCAAAATATGTCAGAAAATCATTGTAAAAGACTAAATGGGGAAACTTTTACCATCTTACCTTTAAAACGGGTCCATTTTCTCTAGAAGTCGAGCAATCGTACCAGGCATTCCTTTGTAGGAATAAAATTTGCCATCAAAATTTACATTCGAAAAAGGTTTGGAAAAATGTACGATATTGATGTCGAAGCACGTGCTGTGACGTCATGAGGTCACGGGTCATATGACGTCATGCATTCCAATAGCGAGGGAGCTGAGGATAAAGGAAGCCCAAAATTTGTTTTGCATCTTATAGGTCCTTAGTGAATATTTTTTTAAATTTATATTGCATTTTCAGAGTTAAAAAGAAAGGATTATTGTATTTCTTTGTAATCATAGTTTTTTTTTTTTTTTTTTTTTTTTTTGTTTATTTATCTTTTTTTTTTTAATTCTATATATGTATTTTTCTGTGTGTTTTCATTTTATTTGCCAGAGTTTACTTGAAGCTGAAGAGGAACAGAATGTTGAGGCATTTACAGAAGCTGTAAGTCCACTGTATATAATGTTATATAAATGTACACCCATTTCAAAAGTGGTTGTGAGAGCTCAGTTGCGGTAATTGTTTACCGTAATTTGTTTTCCAATAGCCCGAAACTACGAGTACAAAATACTACCACAAGTGGCGCAAATTGTTTTACTTTGGGGTCAACTAAAGCACCAGTTTCCCAAGTACGGTTTCTCTCGTTTCCTTGTGCATTCAAAGTGTTCATATGCTGGTTTTCTTGAGTGTTTGTACAGCCTAAATGTCCAATTAACGATCTAAAATTTCAATTTCAATTTTCATTTTCATTTCTTTTACCAGTTACCGTTTTGTTTGGCCTTTTTGCTAAAATTTACAAGTAATTCTCCTTTCTCGTTAACGGCCAGCCTGTACAAAGCTGTCATTACCTTTCAAAACTGGACCAATGTCGCGTTTTTTGCCAATAACCGCATAGATCACATTTGTTTACGTGAGTTTGACGACCGCCCCCCTTCCCCCGCGCTATTTTTCTCGTAAAAAAATTATTATATAAAGCCACGGCTCGTGTTTTATCCAGTCCGGTTTTATCAAAGAACAGAACATAGATAAGCCTAATCTATTTAATAAATAAACTTTGTCACACATCTCTTGAATTTGTTTAATTTGTGGAATTCAAAAAGTTCCCTCGCTGATATATACTAACATTAATAAACTTAGTGCTTTTTTTCAAATGACTACTTTATATCATGTAAGAACTACGAGTACTCTTACAATAATAACAAAACAAGTACAATTTTTTAGCTCGTTCGTCATGCTAGTTTGTTGCTCGTTTGCCGGTAATTTTAGCTATTTTATGTAGCTATAAACATTGTTACACAACTCTTGGATTTGTTTAATTTGAGGAATTCAAAAAGTACTTTTTTTCAAATGAGCACTTTGWATCATGTAAGAACTACGGGTATTCTTACAATAATAACAAAACAAGTACGCTTTTTTCGCGCGTTCGTCATGCCAGTTTGATGCTCGTTTTCCGGTAATTGTAGCTATGTTATGTAATGTTTAATAAACGAGCAGGAGTGTTTTATCGGGTATAAAACACGAGGCGCAGCCGAGTGGTTTTAGACCCGATAAACCACGATCTGCGAGATTATTGAACGGCTTAGAAAACTTATGATGTTTGTTCTCATTGTGTACCGANTTTTTTGCTTGTTTATTTTTCTATTTCTTGTCTAAGTTAATTGTAGACTATGTTCTTCTTTTAAATTTCATGCTCATCTCAATATACGTATTTCACTTACTGTTTTACTCATATTTCACTACACTTAAACATCCATTCATTGTTTCAGTTATTGAATCATCTATCATTCCATCCCTTTTTTTTTTTCATCCACTCGTCCATCCGTCCGTCCGTCAGCGACCGTCAGCCCAATTGTCTATACTATCCATTCCATCCAATTCCATTCCATATATATCCTATCTAATCCCATCCATCCATCCATCCATCTCTCTCTCCCTCCCTCCCTCCATCCCACCCATTCTTTCATTCATTAATTCATTGATTCTTAGTCCTTTTCTTTCTATTTTTTCTTTTCATTCTTTCTCTTTCCCTTTGTGATGACAAAAATTACCTATTTTTACCTATTTTCTTTCGAGACAATGACATTCTTTCGTTTATTTGTTCGTTCTTTAGTTTATAATGTCACTTATTGTCTTCCAATAGTAGCATTCCCACCTAATGTTTCCAACATGAGGCATAATCCAACCAGTCAAGTGTTTCCAAACTTGTTACCACTCATTCATTGTTAAGCTAATTAATTTTAACAAATAGCTTCCTCCACCATCAAAACCATACGCGGTCGGCTATATTATCTCATTGTTTTATAAACAGCATCATTCATATCGCGCCAAAGCCGGAAAAACTCACGGAACTGACCCAATTTCAAACCAAATTTACCATATATCTCACCTGTATAAGATTATCAGGCTAGTAAGCTTAGTTCTACTGGGATTACAAGTCAACTCAGTTGCAAATAAACTTGGTAAGTATATTTTACTCAAATTCATTTAGAACTTATAGCGAAAACAATAAAGGTGCTATTTCGGGGAAAGTGTACCCAAACTATAACATTATTATTCCTAAAGCCGGGCCAAAAAATTTAATATCATTTTTACAGTTATAGTTACTCCTAAAGTGGGAATTTTTTTCTTGTTTTAAATTTTTATATGAAAAATAAATCATATTATGGATACCTTTGTGTTCGAAGTCGTAGCAGGGAACGTTAGTTCAATTATTAGTTCCTTGTAAGTTTGTAAGACGTTTAAGCATCAGAACTGATCGACCGATGTTTGTACTAACATACGGTCTAAATTAGCCAAAACATAGAAGAGTTAAACTCATGGAAATTTTACATTACTAAAAGAACTAGTTTTTTATAACTAAAACATTTAAATATTTTCCAAACAGTTTCGAGGAATAGTTTTCAAAATCTATATGAGTAGCTTTTGTGAAAAGTTGAAAACATTGATTTGAGCTACTCATTCAATGTTTTATAGAATGCACTATGTATTTTGTGTTTTAAATCGAGTTCTTTTTTTAAGTTGGTACTGGTTCATACTGAATGAAACTCAAAACCATTCAACAAAGGATTTCCAAGGTTCGCGTCGTTTTTAGTTTGAATACAAGGCTGTTATTCATTTCATATCTCGCCGGTTATTTTTATATCTATTGTTACTAGAATTTGTTATTTTTTGATCGAATAATACAAAGTCGCAATTCAGAATATAATGTTAGTGTCAATTCTTTCTCTCTCTTACCTCCTTCCTATTTCTTCGTTCATTCATTCTCTTTTTTATTTATTCCCTTCCTTTTTCCCCTTTTTTCTCTCCCTCATATCGATTGAAAATACTTAATTTTCAAATTATCTGCTTTTAAATATTATTAGAACTCGCAAAAGAAATCAAAGAACAATGAAAAAGAAAATAAAAGGGTGAATGAATAAATTATAGTTTTCAAAACTCGATACATTCACTGTCGTCATAGAGACAACAAAGCAACCTTAAATTTTCGATTTTGAAATCGAATCGAATCACGACCTGACCTAGCTAACTTTTTAAGTACAAACACAGCACAGTTTTGTATCATATATATCTTTATTATGACATGGTGACTCAGCCCACTTACCCAAGTCCCAATTACGAAGGCTTTCAACTCAAATACACAATCATTAAATTGCTAGGATAATATAGAGTCAATTAATTGATGCAAACATTTCCAAATCAAAGAGTCACATCCAGGTTTCAAATCAAGAATACACTTTTTATCAAAATTAAATTAAAGAATCATTCGATAAAATTTTTCTTGAACAAAACAAAAGCTTAGCTTAACTTAGAGTTCAAGGTTTGTACATACACTGCGAACTGCACATAAATTTTTTTTAGCTTGCATGAAATGAGTTATATTTTGAGTAATTTATTTTTAGGCCGTAAGCCCTTGGAAAGTTAAGACGTGACTGTTTTGGAAAATGGCGAAAACATAATCACTGAATAATTAAAGTATATTAATGACAAGACAATGATGGTGTGAAGATATTATATATGATAACGACGAATAGAACAAAACAGAACACTCGAGACCCTTAAAGGTGAATTAAAAAAAAAAAAGAAAAGAAAGAAAAGAACAGCGAGAGAGAGAGAGAGAGAATAAATAAATAAATAAATAAACAAACAAACAAACAATAAATAAATAAATAAATAAATAAATAAATAAATAAATAAATAAATAAATAAATAAATAAATAAATAAATAAATAAATAAATAAATAAAAAGAAGATGGAATGAACAATAATCGAAGGTCAAAGATAACCAATATATTTCCCAAAGAACTGTAGGCGACAAGAAGTCCTCACAATTTGCATCCTCCAAAACACTTGCTCCTCAAAAAGATTTCACACGGTTTTGTTGCGAGATATATGCCGAGCATGCGCAGTAAGAATTAGCGATATGTTGTTTTGATCTATTGAATCTAGCATTGCATCTCTTCGCAAATGCTCACAGACGGACTCACAGAAGGTTCTGAAAATCAACCCATTATCGACCACATTGCTGTTTCTAGACTCGGAAATTAAAGCATTACCTGGGATCAGTCAAACACCGTGAGATCAGTCAATTAAGGGTTGAAGAGTTTTTGACTTCGATTGATTACCAACTGGAATTCGAGCTAGCGCTCTAGTAAGCACCTATAAACAGCATATATTTTATTACCTACATGCTATAAGTGAAACAACGCTTATATCGTAATATAAGTCCATAAATACTTGACTCTTGGTAAGTATAACATTTGTGTCTGTGTATATTCTTTTTTGTGTTTTTGAGTGTGTGAATATGTTTTTTATACGATATTTTTTAAAGGAATATTGTCAAAGAAAGCTTTGTGTTGAAATGCATTCATTACTATCATTCTACGTATTTCCCCACTTATTTTTGATATAGTTTTCTTCGTTATTTTAATCTTTAGTTGTTGTTGTTTTTTTCAGTTTTCTAGCGTTGAAAATAAAACACTTTAAAACCCATGCTCAAAATAGTACTGAATTCATATCGTGTAAAATAGTTCAAAAAATTGGTACAATGTGGTCCGATTTGTTTTTAATTGTTTCACTATATCAGTGCTATCATTAAAAGTAAACACTACTTGTTATATAATACTATTTCATGGACAAAGTGTTTTACTATATGATAAGCTATAAACGGGAATTTCTCGTTAAATTCTGTCTTGGCATCGCAATGTTTTAAGCTCCGCCGACATCAATTCGAGAGTAACTTGATGATTTATCAATCCTTAGATCGATTCGGCATTTTCTCCAGAATGTGTTTAAAACTTATACCGACGTCTTTAGGTACCGGGTTTGAAAGATAAATTCAAATTTGTATGTGTGGAAATGAAATAAAATTGATCTTAGACAAAGGGACGGAAATACAATGAAACATTTGCGCGCAATATTGCATGCAATGTTACTGAAGTAGGATACGGTTTTTTACTTCAGCACCATTGCTTAACAAATACATAAAAGCAACGTTATGCATTAGTACAGAAAAGTATTTTAAAAATACAAGCTTTGGGCCAGATATTTCCAGTTGCGAAGTTTAGAATATTATGTTCAAAGAAAAACAACAGATATATACGAGGATCAATTTTGAGTTGTTGAAAGTAACTTAATCAATTTGGGAAATTTGACGTAACACGCTTAAATTTATGCATATTTTTCGGCATCTTTTTTATCAATTTCCTCTAATTTACTAGCAAAATGGCAATTTACTCTAGCAGGTTTCTTGACATCAAAGGTATTCTAGGTTTAGGCCGCGATTCATACGAAGAATTAATTTGATATGAAGCGAGAATTCCGTTTCGTAATAGCCATTTGATGAGCCATTTGATGAGCTATCAAGGCAGTCAATGTAATCTCTTTGGAGCCTTAACGGAAATTAAATGTACACCATTAAAACAGAAAAGCGAATGTAATTGAAAAGGAATGTAAGCAATATAACAGTAGTTCAGTTCAACTTTATCTAAAATGATTTAATTCTCTTCTCTTCTCTTTTCATCTCATCTCATCCTATCTCATCTCATCTCATCTCATTTCATCTCATCTCGATATTCTGTTCTCTTCTGTTCTCTTCTGTTCTCTTCTGTTCTCTTAATAACCCCTCCTAGAGCTACTTTATTACTTTGTCTCCTCACACTTCTTTGCTTTAACAGTTTTGTTATAGCCATTGATTCATCCTTTCCTTTGCTTACATCGCATAAAGTACCTAAGGTCAGTTAGTCATGTACGCTCACAACATCAAATCATACTTCCCACAGTGCCAATTCATCTCACACTGCCAGGATGTTCAACGCACTCCAAACAGTTGTCATAGCAATTATCCTGGCTCCCGCCGCCTCGAAGATCCCTCTTTTCATTGGTGGATTCTTCCCTATGACGTCAATGTATTACGACGGATGGACGGGAGGCAATGGGATCCTGCCTGCTGCTGATATGGCGTTAGAACACATCAACAGTGCTGGGATTCTTGGTGACTATGAATTGAAAATGATATGGAATGACACTCGGGTGAGTCACTCCTTTAAACTTTTATATCTTAAGAACCATTCCTTGGTCGAGAATAAAAATGGCCCGAGTTGGCGTTGCTGTGCATTAGGGGAGTGTTTTTTTCTAATGCCATCTTTTTATTCCCCAAAAATAGTTCCACGATGCCATACATGCAATGCGAACTTGACACTAGCTTTTTCTTCAATATCGGAATGACTAATATCGAACTCAATGACTATCGAAGATGGAATTGTCTAGAAATATTCAACGGATTTCATCGTCTTTTGGGCTGATGAAAGTCAGGGCAAGGCTAACATAGATAACATAGCCAATGAAGCGGAATGTTTTGGAAACCTTTTTTTCCTGCTCTTGTTCGACTCTATCAAATTAGGATATAGTTTGTTTGGTTTAACGGAGGGAGAAAAACCCTCGAATCACTGACCTAACAAACTCCACTTACATACCGATTAGACAGGAATAAAATTGATTGGTATAACATTCATTCCCATGTTTTCATTTAATCATCCTAAATGAATTTATCTGATATACAACACCGGATTTGAGTCAGTTCCATCCGCGCGTTGAAATTACTTTCCATTCGCACACGACAGGGGTTTTAAAATTGCGATAGATATCATTCTCATTTGAGACATCAGGGATGCTTACCATTTACTACCCGGAAAAACCGAAAATTCCAGTTGGAAAACAAAAGTATGCACCATTATTCTGATCCCGCTCTTTTTGGTTCTTTCGGTAGACGCGTGTACCATTTATCGAAGTCAAAGTTTCCCGCTATTTTCTTACCATTAGCGAATGAATTTCCAACCGGATAATTTGGTTTAAATGATGAGCACCCCAAGAGTCAAATGAGCAATGTTTAGATCATGATTGTCTCGCTCATGTCTTTGACAAACTACATTTTATAAAAGGTTAGGGCTTTGTGTGGGTGTACTTCGTCGGGAGAGAAGACCTAGGGCAGGTGTAAGCATGCGGTTGATATATGTCTGGAAGATAATAGATTTTTTGGTATTTTTGGTTAAATTGCATTCTCTAAGAAAAAGGTTGGCGGAATCCGACCCCTGAGAAGTGTTAAACTTAATATAACCTTCGATTTAGTTATCGTTACCCTTAATCAACGTCTGGGCTGATCTAATTAATTGTCAAGACATGGGTAACTCATAGTTCGAACCCTGAAACAACCTCTGGGCTGATCTAAGTCAGGGCACGGCAAGCTCACAGATCGATCCCTGAAACAGCCTCTGGGCTGATCTAAGTCAGGGCAGCGCTAACTCACAGATAGATCCCTGAAACCACCTCTGGGCTTGTGATCTAAGTCAGGGTACGGCTAACTCACAGATCGAATAGCAATTTAGCGTGTTAGGTTTTGCCAAGGGAGAAAAACGGGAGAACATGGAGATCATCCATAAAACTATTTACTGTATTCTCTTATCCCTTAAAAATAAATTCCGAGTTCTTCCCATCCTCATACACTACCTCTTAATATGATTAAGTAGAAACTCCTGGAACATGACTGACTCTTATGATGATATCTATCTCCAAATTAAAACTGCATTCATGCTGTGTGCGTAATTTCAGGATGACTAACAAACTTCCGTAAACGATTATCGCGACGCACGTTCCTTCCATTAATGAATCCTGTTCACACGTGGGGAGATTTCGACCAGATTCGAGTACCAAATGATAAGATCATATTTAGTACATGGGTACTCTGTGGGACACGTAGACTTATGTCTAGCGAGCACCTAATCTCGCAGTAATTTATATTACTAGGTGATTTCCCCCGAATTATTTAATACACTAATCAAAAGTTCCACGATTCTGCTCAAGGCATGCTCAACAAGTCAAAAAGTGGGATAATTGGTTGTAAAAATTGCTATATTTTGGGGTATTTTTGATTTGGAATTAGCTTAAGGCTACTTTCTACTGAATATCTAATAAAAATTGTGCTTATTAAGAAAATAAAATCAAAATATAGCAATTTTTTACAACCTATGATCCCACTTTTTGACCCCTTGAACATGCGCTTAGAGCAGTAGCCCGGAAGTTCTGATGCACGCTGGGTCGTCCTTCACGAATTTGCAAGATGTGATGCTATTGGAGGGCGCACATGTGTAGAACAATAGAAAACAATAACCTTTTTCCAACCCCGCCCCTAAACCTAACCAATCACAGGGTACGTTGCAAATTCGTGAAGCCTAACCCGGGGGGTCCCTGCACGTATAGAACGAAAGTCACCTGGGAGTCGAAAGATAATATATAGACTGGGCACCCTGTGGTCTAACTACCTATTTTATTTCTCATATGGATTTTATTAGGGATCTCCAGGATGGACCGAACATCTCTTATATCAATTCCTCTCAAGTTCTCCTCGAAAAATTATGCTGCTGGGGGCTGGGTACTCGTCTTGTAGTACTGTCGTGGCGGCTTTGGCTGGACTCAATCCATGGCGAATACCACAGGTAGACCATTAGCTAGGTTTTTTAATTACTCGGCGAGCTTCCTGTGGCAAGGGTAGCAGTCTCCTCCACAGGCGTCATTAGGTTCGGTCCCAGATCCTCACTCGAGCACTACATTCCTTTCCGATTGTTTAGTTTAGCCAATGAAAAGTTTGTTGCGTTTCTAATCCAATTATCCCTAGATTGATTTTGAATATATGGTCAGCTGTCAAAACCGCAAGACCATATTCAAGAGTATCCTTTTTTGGAATGACCGTATTTAAGAGTATCCTTGACCATATTTAAGAGTATCCTTTTTTTCCAATGACCATATTTAAGGGTATCCTTGACCATATTTAAGAGTATCCTTTTTTTCCAATTACCGTATTTAAGGGTATCCTTGACCATATTTAAGAGTATCCTTTTTTCAAATGACCATATTCAGGGTATTCTTGACCGTCTTTAAGAGTGTCCTTTTTGACAAATGACCATATTTAGGGGTATCCTTTTTTCGAATGACCATATTTAAGGGTATCATCAGGATATTTGGAACTAGTAGTAGGTCGCATGCGCTTTGCCGCTAAATTCCGATAATAAAGAAGGCTCGCAGCATACATGGACCAGATAATTTCAGTGGAAACAAAGCCCATGGAAGCCCGACGCAAATTCAAGCAAGTATTACTGTTTTGATTCACGGAAGGAAGGCCAAAACCCGGATGTCCTGGGGGGACTATACTAGGTACATAGTAACCTATTGACACGAATGCTCTTCATGTTTTTTTTAGATCTCGTATGCGTCCACATCACCCGCTCTATCAGACAAGATCTTGTATCCCTACTTCTACCGAACAATCCCAGATGATACCTCCTTCAACGCCCCTCGTTTCGCTATACTCAAGACATTCAACTGGTCCCATGTAGGGATTATCTATCAAGACGAAGATATACACAGAGCGGTAAGCTGTATTTGTGTGTTAGAGGTAGGGCAAGGGGTCAAGGAAAGAAGGTAGAACAAGGAGGAGGAAGGGGAAGGAGGAAGAGGAAGGGAGGAGAGAGGGAGGAAGGGGAGTTATAGGGAGAAAGGGGAGAGACGACGAATGGGGAAGATAGATGGAGGAAGGTAGGGAATATAGGGAGGAAGGGGGAAAATAGAGGGAGGGAGGTAGGAAAGTGGAGAGGAGGGAGGGATTGCATGCCAGTGCATAAAATTAATATTAGAAAATTATAGTTATACATGTAGAAACATTTGGTATGATAATAATCTGGATATCGTTTCAAAGGCGGTGGAACATCTTCAACTTGATATAAGAAGCCGCGGGATGAGGGAACTCACTGCTGAGGCGTTTAGAAACAGTGCTACTACTCAAATGGCGAATCTCAAGGCAAGTAAGAAAAATGGATGAATGGATGGATGTGATGGATGGATGGATGCATGCATGCATGCATG